TCACAGCAGAGGGCAGGCGGATTACAGCCTAATTATATTATAAGAAACAGCCATTTAATTCTGAGAGGTCATCAGGAAAGCATTTCCCAAGGAGAACCCTCGCCTTTGAAATCCTTTCTCACTGAGGGGCCAACAAAGCGTTGGTTCATCATAGCTCAAACGAGCATCTGTTTCTGGCTGGCTTCCTTTGAAGGCCCGTGTGTTTGAGCCGTTGTACACTTTCAAGTGATCCACTTTGGCTTTATTATTTGTGGATGGGCTCAGGATTTCCCTGAAGGGAGAGGGGGCCTTGTCCTATAAGAGGGAAGCATCTCCCTGAGAGTCAGAGGGACCCCAGGGAAAGCCGCATCACTTTTCAAAGGCCCCCGAGAACTGGTTAGTAATTTAGTTCATCTAATAATCAGGTATCTCTGGGCTCACATAGAGACCTCATTCTTTTGACTTGAGTTAGAAATTTATTTTGTTTCCTTTGCTGTGTTTTGGAGGGAAGAGCTCATGGTAAGTAAGTCCTACATCCCTTTAAAGGATCATAGAGTCAAACCTGGAAAAGATTCCAGAGGTCATCTAGCCTAGCCATCTCATTTTATAGATGAAGAAACAGGTTTAGAGAGGAGCATGGGATCATAACACTAGAGCCGAAAGGAACCTGTCTCTCCAATTTGTCCACAAGGATATTGTGATTCAACCTCAAATAGCTTGCTGAAATTCACATACTACATATATATGCATGTATATATATATATATATATATATATATATATATATATATACTATATAATATATATACTATATAATATATACTATATATATAATTATATATAATATCTACATATATTGGGGAAACGCTATATATATGGGGAATATATATATATATATACTATGTGTATATGTGTGTGTGTATATATATGTATATATACATATGTATATATATACATATATATACACACACATATACTATGTGTATATGTGTGTGTGTATATATATGTATATATACATATGTATATATATACATATATATACATACATATATACACACACACATATATATATACATATATGTATACATACATACACACACACACACACATATATATATATATATATATACACACGCATAGCATTTCCCCAATCTACCAATATCAATAAAAGAACATGAGATTAGTATGTTTTTTGTTTAAGGCAGTTGGCGTTAAGTGACTTGCCCAGGGTCACACAGCTAGTAAGTGTCAAGTGTTTGGTCTGAGGCCAGATTTGAATTCAGGTCCTCCTGACTTCGGGGCCAGTGTTCCATCCACTGCACTATCTATCTGTCTTGAGATTAGTATGGTTTGAACCAGGTCTTCCCTACTCCAAGGCCAATGCTCTATCCACTACTTCAAGGTTGCCTCTCATCCAAGTACTGCTTTGTGAATCATCAATATGACTGTTTAATAGAGTTTTAGAGTGTCATCTGGGGTGCTAAGTCATATGAGGACACTATCTTCTAACCAAAGGTTCACCTCCCAACAATTCGAAATACTACTGTATAAACATGGTGCCTCATGCATACAAAGCATGCACTCTCCAAATGAACTCCATCCGTCCCTAAAGGTAATTCAGTTGTTGTCGTGCAGTCGTTTGAGTCATGTCCAACTCTTCGTGACTCTATTTGGGGTTTTCTTGGTAGAGATATTGAAGTGGCTTGCCATTTCCTTCTCTAGCTCATTTTACAGTTGAGGAACTGAGACAAAATGTATTAAGTGACTTGCCCAGGGTTACACAGTGAATAAGTGTCTGAAGCCAGATTTGAACTCATGAAGATGAGTCTTCCTGACTTCAGGCCTGGCACTGTATCCATTGCATCACCTAGCTGCCCCTAAAGGTCATTCAATTTGTTCCGAATTGATAAAGCTACCCAGTATGTCTCTTTCCATTTTGTCCACAAAGATATTTTGATATAAACTTTCTCATTTTACAAATGAGGAAACTGAGGTACGTAAAGATGAAATGATGACAAATGTCACACAGGTAATAAGTGACAGATCTTGGATTTGACTTATGTCCTCTGACTCCTCAAATGACTTGCTGAAACTCAGCAGGAATAAATGTGTCATTTCCCAATCTATCAATCTAGTTACCCTGTCAAAAGGGTGCATGAATGTAGTGTGGTATGTATCTGTTGCTACTTCCCTTTCTTACTGCTCACACACCATCCCTTTAACCTTTTCATTGGAAATTCCTATGATTCCTAATATGGGAGCAGAATGCATTCTGGAAGAATGATCAGTGGAGGTTGTTTGGAGAGCTTTTGTCTGAATAAGAGCTTTGAATGGAGGTGGTAGATGTAAATCAACAGAAGGTAACAGAACATGGTATTTTGTCCCAGTCATCAGGATTTGGACTACCTTCAGGAAGCAGGCCGTACCAGTTGCCATAATGGGAAATTTCTAGTCTGAACACTTCTCAGACATAACAGGTTGCTTCTACTTCCTCCTCTGCCTTTAAAAAGTATATAAGCCACAGGTTACCTCACAAGCCACTAAGCAAACATTTATTTACCTTCATGACTGTGGTAAATTAAATGTACTTTCTTCAGTCTAATCATGAAATCACAAATTGTTTCTTTGATTGATTAAGGGATCAATCTCTTTAATAACATCAGGTTTCCAGTCATTAGCTCATTCCTCCAAAGAATAAAATAAGGTCACCAGCTTGTCTGGGATGAACATGGTATGTGTTACGAAGGCAGCCCAAAACCACCAGTAGGAAGAAGTGCTACACTCCCTTCTTCACTTGAACAATAGAGTCATTGCATCATAGATGTAGAGCTTGAAAGAATCTTAGAGATTATCTATTCCAACTTTCTGATTTTATAGATGAGGAAACTGAGGCCCAGAAAGATAAAATGACCTGAGTAATGTCATGTAGGTATTAACCAACAAAGCCTGGATTTGATGTAGGTCCTTTAACTTCAAATCCATCACTTTCCCAACAATTCCACGATGACACCATAATGATCCAGGGGAAGGGGTGATTGGGACCTAGCGTGTGACTCCAAGTCCATAATTTATAACTAGTTTCCTAGATTTTCCCAGCTCCCATTTTAATGGTATTTCCCATCTGAGAACCCAGAGGAAGGCAAAGACATTAATGCAGTTCACCTTAAGTTAGCTGTTACTTCCTAATCTTTGGAACATTCTCCGGAAACTTGGGGATGCCATTAGTAGCTAGAAGGGATCAGGAAAGAATTCATATAGAAGGTGCCATTTGAGGAGAGCATTCAATAGGGAAGAAGGAAGGAGGGGTTCTTTCCACTATCAATAGTATTTAGAAACAGGGACATGTTTCACAGAATCAAAGTTACAAGAGACCTTGGTGACCACCTAGTCTGGCCCTTCCTTCAAGCACCTGCAACATCCTTAATGAGTAGGCAAACAGTCTTGGCTTGAAGATGGTCAACCCACTACCCCACAAAGGCAGCCCATTCCAATTTGGTATGGCTCTACTTGGGGAAGATTTCCTGATATTTTGATGAAACCTACCTCTTATCAAAGCCCAGACCAACTAGAACAAATATAATCCTTCATTAAAATGGCAACTCTTCAAACATTTGAAGGCAGTGATTGCTACCCCCACAAATCTATTTTCCATTCTAAATGTTAATAAAGATGAAGGCTAGAATTGTGCTTGTATGTTTTATACTCTTTGTACATTATACTGGAGGGAGTTTACTCATTGGGATTTCCCTGTACTGAAGAAATTACAAATCCAGACAAATATACACACACATATAAAATGTGTATATGTATATATTTATATGTTTTATATATATATATATATATATATATATATATATATATATACTCATCTGTGAGCACATATGGACATATATACATATGCATCATGTGTATTTGTAGATATATGTTGTTGTTTCATCATATCCAACACTTCGCGACCCCATTTGGGGATTTCTTGGCAGAGATACTGGAGTGGTTTGACATTTACTTCTCCAGCTCATTTTACAGATGAGGAAACTGAGGCAAACAGGGTTAAGTGACTTGCCAAGGGTCATACAGCTGGTAAGTGTCTTCCTTCATTAGGTCGACACAAACTATTGATATCCAGAATTGGAACAGAGTCCAAAAATGAACATTTATTTGAAGATGTAAGAGAGTTCTAGTTCAATTCTTTTTTTTTTTGAGACAATCAGGGTAAAATGACTTGCCCAGGGTCACATAGCTAGTAAGGGTCTGAGGCTGGAGTTGAATTCAGGTCTTCCTGATTCCAGGTCTGGTGTTGTATCCACTGTACCCCCTAGCTGCCCATAGATATATATGGATATATGTATATTAACACATATGTGTAGACATATATTGAGAGGTAGTATGGCCGAGTAAATAGAGAATGAAACTCAAAGCCAGGAAGACAGGTTCAAGCTCTAATTTCTCCCCATATTGGCTGTGTGATTCTGGATAAGTCACTTACCTCTCAGTAAACTAGGTCAGTGGCTCCTGTTCATGGTTGGAGGTTGTGATGATGATTCAAGGGATTCAAATGATCAACTATAGAATTATTATCAAATGAGGTAATATTTGTAAAGTGCTTAGCACAGTATGTGGCACATAGGCCCTATATGCTTATTCTTCCCGTGATATGTGTATATATAAATATAATATTGTATATGTCTTGTGTGTGTATTTATTTATATATTATTGAGAGGAGGGGAGGGTCTCTTCTCTGACAGGAATATTTGGGAGCATAGACCAATGTTGTCTCTTGCCATCAAAAACAAATGATGAAAAGTGAGTTGCAAGTTAATCCAATTGTTTATTCAATGGTATACAATGATTTTTAAAAATAACTTGAGTGAATTCCCCTCTTATGTTCCTTTTTTCCCTACTGGATTCAGTTGAAGCAGTGGGTGCTTGTAGAAACGCAGCTGATCTGCTGCCGTTGACGATGATGGATGATAGCCTTGGACTCTCAACTTTGTAGCCCAACAGACAACCTTGTGAATTCAGATGTCAGGTAATATTGGCCTCACCCACTAGCCCCTTTGTTACAGGATTCATTATGATTGGCTGCCTAGGTTCTGAATGGCAGAAGAATGTCCAGAGCTCTGGTTTTAGTTGAAAAGTTTCAGATTGGGCTGTTATTTCCTGGAGTTTTTCTTCTCTGTTCAGTGTGATACTCATTCAGGGGTCCATTTCTGTTAAATAAGCAAGTTGTGTTTCAAGGCTGTGGTCCAGGCCTGAGAACAGTCAATCTATTCAGAATTAGATCTCTTGGTATGGGAGCTCCCAAAGCTATTGGTATTATGATATTTTCTAACCTATTCTTTATAAGGCCAGGTAGGCTCCCATGAAAAGAAATCATAGTGTTGGCCCTTAGTCACATTTTTAACTACACCATTTCTAGTTCTTGGACACAGGAGCAAAGTGGTCAGATCCAAAGGAGACCCCTGGACCAATAAGCATAACTGGAGATGTGGATATTGGAGGTGAAGATCATAACAAGATGTAGGATTCTGGGGAAAACAGGGTAGGTTTTTCTAAAACCATGAGTTGCTTTAAGACTGTATCTTCTGATAACAGAACCCTTCCATGGATTTTCCAAACCTGAGAGTCCATTATACAAATGAGATAATTTCCAGGAAGTTGGAATTTTTTTTAAGAAACTTATTCCAGTTTCTCAAGTTTACTACTCAGCAGATCTTACTTTGGAGAATTTGCTGTCTCAGCACTTAAAAGAGTTCCTCCCCAAAGTAGGAGTTGGCACTAGATCACCACGACTCCATTTCTGGGTCCCCAGAAGAATAGAGGTCAGACCCCTGGTACATTGCTTCCTCTGGAAGGTTACTGAGCCTTCATCCAGAAAGATCAAGTAGAACTCAAGAGACATTCATCATGGACCATTGATCTTTCTCTAGCCTAGACTAGAGATCACATTTCTTAAAAGAAATTACGAGGATTTTTATAAGTTTGCTTGTTTCTCTGTTGGAGTTTATACAAGAAAATGTGAGGGACTGTGAAAGCTTAGTATGGAGAAAAAAGGCAATTAATCATTAAAAGTCCAAAAAATCAATTGCACAAATACAGAAAGGGAGAGATCTGGCTTGGCAGTTGTTGATGTAAAAAAGACCTCTCCGACCACAGACTTCATGGGATCCAACAGTATGATTCATCTGCTAATCAAGCTAACACAACCTTGGGTTGCATGACTGGTATTCATCTCAGAGGAAGCAACAGTCCCATCATACCCATCACAGATCAGATTATGTATCAGATACAAGATTCAATTCTTTGTGCCACATATTAAAAGAGACCTTGATATTTCAGAGAAACATGGGAAGACTTGCATAAACTGATGCAGAGTGAAGGAAGCAGAATCAGGATAATGGTAATAAGTACTACAATTAATGCAAATGAGCATAACACCAAAAAGAGCTACCAAATTCAGATTAATTACAATACCTGACCTTGTTCCTGGAAAACAAATGATGAAACCTTAACTGTGGTGCAGGATCAGAATGTTCCATAATTTGGCAGATAAGATCATTGATTCTGCTTACCTAGTTTTCTTTTTCACAAGGGTAAGACTAAGCAGGGAAGGGTCTATTACAAAATAACTTTAGTGTAAAAAAATCCAAAGGTATTAATGAAAATTTAATAGTTATAGAAAGGGGGCTTCACAAGCTAGAATGCATCCAGAAGAGGGCCACAAAGATGGCGGTGAGGGGAGTTGCTTTATAAATCATGTTACAAAATGGGTTGAAAGAAAACTGGTAAAGAAACTGTATTTAGCATAGGTAAGAAACTATAAATAGATAATGTGATAATGGATAGATAAGATATAGAAGCGATAATGTGAGATATTGGATAGAGTACCAGTCTCACAGTTAAGAAGATGGGTTCGACTGCTTCTACATATAATGGCTAAGTGACCTCCACCAAATCAATTAACCTCTCAGTTTCCCTGGACAACTCTCTTTCTCTATAACTGTATATGGATAAGAAGATGCTAATCTCTATCCGTAGAGAAAATTTTTCACCAGGAACTCTCTATACACTATTAAATCTTATTTACATTAAACAAAACAAAACAGAAACCAGAGGGAAAATAATAGTCTTCAAAAGTCTTCAAATATTCAAAAGACTCTCACATAGAAGAATCATACCTAACACAACAGAGAGAGAGAGAGAGAGAGAGAGAGAGAGAGAGAGAGAGAGAGAGAGAGAGACATGGAGAGAGATAAAAAGAGAGAGATAGAGACACATACAGAGATACAGAGACAGGGAAATGGAGAGAGACAGTAATAAAGAAAGAAGAAAAGAAGGAAATAGAGAAAGAAAAGGAGGAAGGAAAGGAGGGAGGAGAGAAGGAGGGAAAGGAAAGAAAAAAGAAGGAGATAAGGAAGGAAGGAGGGAAAGAAGAAAGGAAGGAAAGAAGGAAGGAAGAGGTTTTATAATCATATGATTGAAATTATCTGTTTTGTTTTCATAATTTATGATCTCTGTCTATTTACAGTTACCCCCAAATGCAAAACAAAAACAAAATAAAACAAACAACAACATCTCTCCATTCTCATTTAATAATTTTATATTTAGATTATCTACTCATTTAGAAATAACTGGCATAAGATAGAAGATGACGTTCTTATGAAAAAAGCAGTGGCTGTATTGGTCATTTGTTTTCATGATTTTGTCTGTGCTGGACATTTGTATTTAGGTCTTACTTATCTAATTATTTGCTTTGATCTACTATTCTATTTTTAAAGATTCAGTACCAGGTAGTTTTGGTAATTTTCCTTTTAGAGTATAGTTTGAGATGCAAGAGTGCCAAGCCCACCTCCATTCAACTTTTTTTAAAAAAAAATAATATCCTCATGACTTTTTATTTCTCCAAATAAATTTTATCTAATTCTATAAAGCATCCCATTGCTTCACAGAATTGCTAGAAATATCCTGTTGCTATTTGTAAACTAATAAACCTGTAGAATAATTTAGGCAATCTCATCCTTTTTTATTATTTTGTCACACCTTAACCTGGAACATTGAGTTACCATATAATGGCTCAGTGACTCAGATTGTTTTTTCTTTTTAATTTATGTAAATATATCGATCATGGCTGTATTTAAATTAATTTTTCCTGTTGCATGGTAGGTTAATTCCCATATACCTAATGCATTTTCTTATCTTAAACAGAATCCATCTTCCTACCTCTTCCTCCTCTTAACAATATATAGAAAAGATGATGATACTTACTTTCGTCATAGCGTCCTATTTCACTAACGCTATTTGTGACTTTTTTTGTTGGTTGCTCTGGAGTTCTTTAAGATAATCATCATATTGTCTTGCAGACAGAGTGCACAGAGAAAGGCCTTGCAGTTTATTGCTGGAGGAAAGCAGAACAAAGCTCACCAGCCTTCTCAATATTCTCCAACCCAGATATAGTAACTTCCATAGACTAGAAGAGCACGATGGAGGGCAGGTAAAAGCAACTTCCTTACCACATTTTCACTCTGTTCCTTTTCCATTTGGGCAATTATAGCTGTAGGGATATTTGTGTCATCCAGTAGCATATGATAAAAGCTAAGAACTAAAATGTGTCTTTGACTCACCCTGATGAACGTTGAACCGAGTGAGTCATAGCAGCAGTAGAGGAGAGAGGAACTCAGAAAGCATACACGATCTCAGGCTGCATGTCTACAACATTTTATGGTATAGCATAATAAGAGAAAATGCTTCTGGCCACTGGCTGAAAGAACTACTTGCTTCTATGGAGGGGAGAGGCTTACTAAGCACAGCAGCACCCCCAGTGGATGGGCAGAGTTTCCCAGGGCACTGAAGTTAGTAAGGTAGATAAAGATCAACTGAAGAAGAGAGGTGTGGTCTGCTGAGGCTGGGGGGCAGGAAAGATCAACACCTGGTGGAGAGCCCAGAAGGGACCGAGTTCAGTAGAGAACAAAGTAATGACATCATGAAAAAACATTGACAGCCTATAGGACCATAGAAAAGAGTTGTTCTTCGTTTTGTTTTTCCTGGCCACACAGCACACACAGGATCATGTTCATGTGTGCATAGACTTACAGTTAGAAGAGACCTTAAAGGTCATCTAGTACAACCCCTGGCTCCTTCATTTGTTTCACAGTCTGGGCTCCAGAAGGAGGGAACCTGTTTTAGAAGTCATCTAGTCCAACCCCATCCTTGGGATCCAGAGAGGGGAAATGACTTGCTGGAAGTCACACATGAAGGACTTAGCAGAGGCAAAATTCAAACGTGGGTCTTGTGACTTCAAATCCTGAGCTCTATCGTGACTACCCCGTTTGATGTTGAAAAAGTGCTAGTTCTTTTAAAGCACATTTTTATTGATAATTTAGTTTTTACATCATATCTACCCCTTTTGTATTCTTTTTCCCTCCCATAAAGCAATCCATTTATAGCAGGGGAACAAAGGGGAACATGTCTAGGTTTTAGGGGGCCTATGAATTTGGGTAGAAAAATATTTTCACCAATCTCCAACTGAAATTAAGTATTTCCTTTAATTATAAATGTTGACATCCAACATTATTCGGAGAAGAGATCCAGATACTTCATCATACTACCAAAGGAGTCCAATGATGTAAAAAGGTCTTTGCCTTCCTCCTGGCAAAGAATAAAAAAGAGGAAAAAAGAACAATTAATAAGTCTACTGACCAAAAAAAGGCTAATGTTATATGCAGGGTTTCATATTCATAGTTATTTCTGCAAATCGTGTGATTGCTAGTATCTTTTTTTGGGGGGGAAGCTTAATCATTATAATTTTACAATATTCAGTTTTGATTGTTTTCTTGGTATACTTTTCATTTAAATAACCGTAGCCATTGTATATATTGTTTTCTTGGATCTGCTTACTTCACTTTGCATCAGCTCATATAGGTCTTCTCATGCTCCTCTGTTTTCATTTCTTATAGCAAAATAATGTTTCATTACATTTATATAATATCACACTTTTTCTCCATTTCCCAATCAATTGAGAATTTACTTTGTTTTATGTTCTTTTGGCTGACTTAATTGTTGGTAATTTTTTTTTATTCTAAGTAAAAATCTGCTGCCTTGAAATTGTCTATTGCACTGAGCATAGTGCCTTGCACAGGGTAGGCATTCAATAAATGTTTGTTGATCTCAACTTCAAATCTTCCCCATACCTATCATCATGTTCTCTGTAGGCAGTAGGCTCTTAATGAATATTTTCTGAATTTCAATTTTGGTAAGTAAGGCTAGTCTACCAATAAAATCAGTGAATTGTGCTGGTGAAGTGGGAGTCCCCATTTTTTCTTGGGTGACCTTCAGCACAAATTACTGCATCTTTGCCTGATGAGTCATGTTTGCAAGTGATACTATTATCTCCAGCTCAGCATTGCTGGGGAGAGTACAGGAGGTGGAACTGGTCACTATGACATTCTTCTCCTAATTAATGGCCTTTTAGGATAGAGTTGTTTTTATAACTGAGAAACCTTTGGAAATGGTTTTTTCTGGATTTTCTCACCCTTTGTGGCAAGAATTTTTGTTGAACTACAAACCTACAAAGCCTGACTTAAAAGGAATATGAAGAGAGATGGGAAGAAGAAATGCTATAAATTCTGTTCACAGTCATTAAGAAATGACAAAGTATCTTAATCATTAAAAAAAAAACCCTCACAGATAGAAAACTCACTCTTTCTCTCCTGTCTCTCTCTCTCTCTCTCTCTCTCTCTCTCTCTCTCTCTCTCTCTCTCTCTCTCTCTCTCTCTCTCTCTCTCTCTCTCTCTCTCTGTTTAAGGGAAGAACATTGGAGGAGTTGTAACCAAATAGAAAATGCCATGTGTAGTCCAACCCCCTCACCTTACAGGGGAAGAAACTGAAATCAAGGAGGGCATGTGATTTGTCTATTGCCCCATACATAGCAAATGGTTCAGCTGAAATTTGAACCCAGACCTTCTGATTCCAAATTCAGCACCCATTCCCCTACATCAAGCTCATCAGGCTGCCCCTCTAGGTATTTGGTGACCAACTGAATCAGGGTGGAGGGGAAAAAAAACAAGCAAACTCATGCTTTCCTTCCTCTCTCTCTTCTTTCTTCTTTCCTTCTCCCCCTCCTTTCCTCTCTCCCTCCCGTCTTTCTTCCCTTTCTCCCTTCCTTCCTTCTTTCCTTCCTTCTTTCCCTTTCCACCCCCTTACCCTCTTTCTCTTCCCATCACCTCTTCTCCCTTGCCCTCCCCTGCCTCTTTCCCTCTTCTCCTCTTCACTCTTCTCTCTCCCATTTTCTCCTTTCTCTTCTTTCATTTCTTCCTTCTCCTCCCTTCCTCCTTCCCCTCCCTCTCCTCTCTTTTCTCAGTATCCATTACATAGCAAGTGCTGTGCTAGGTATCTAGTGATACAGAAAGTAGTATTAGAGATGGAAGGAGTAATTTAAAAAAGAAGTAGAGCAGTATTAATAGAATCAAATGAAAATGTTGTGGATCATTGCATTTTGTGAAATCATGTGAAAAATCTCCATAAATTTAGTGATGAAGGTGGCCGATGGTAGGGAGGGGTTTGAGCTCTTTCTTCTCTTGTTGATTTTCCCTCTGCTCTCCTGTTTCTGGGGGTGGAGGGATGGGACATTGCCCATCCAGCCTTTTCTACTCTTTTTCACTCCTTATCTTCACCGCTTTCCCTCTCTTCCTTCTGTCTTTATCTAATCTCTTCTAAAATCCAATGGCAGCACACGAGTTGGCAGATGGAGGAGTGTGGTCTGGGCAGTCTGGGAAAGAACTGTCTAGTTCCTCTGTCAACTCCTCCAACCTAATGCCCATGAAAAAGGAGTTAGTATTTACATGTGTATATAGGAATATATATAGATAAATATATACATATACACACATGTACACACAATATATGGTATATATAATGTGTATATACCTACATATAAAAGTATACATATCTAATGACATGTGTTCACACACATGTAAGAGCTTGTATATGCATGTAGGTATGCATATATGGAGAGAAGAGGAAAGGAAAGAAGAAGAGAGGAGAGAGGAGAAGACAAAGAAAAGGAGAGAATGAAAGAGGAGAGAAGAGAGGAGAGGAGAAACATTTTTTTAAGGGCGTACTCTGGGCAAGACCTTGTGCTGTCCCTAAGGATACAAAGATAAGAAGGAAACAATCCTTGTTCTCAAGGAATTTATATTCTACCGTTGCATAGTACCAGAGAAGTAAACTACAAAATACATACAAGGTTAATTTCAAGAAGGAGAAAACACTAAATACCTGTGGTGAGAGGGGATCAGGGGGGGCTTTACCCAGAAGATGGCACCTGATCAGTATTTTGAAGCATGCAAGGATATTCAAAACCAGTTTTATAGAACATCATTTGGTTTATCAAGGACAGTAATTCCTATCACTTCCACCCCCAACCTTGGGAAATAATGGTATGGTGGAAAGAGTACTTAAGTGTGAATCAGAGGATTTGATATCAAACTTGGACACTCCCCTTCCCCTCATCTTAATCCAGTCCTTCCCTCTTACTACTTGAGTGATCTTGGGCAAGGTACTTGACCTCTCTGAAACTTGGTTTTTTCATCTGTTAAATGAGGGGTTGGGATAGATGACCTCTAAGGTCCCCAGAGCTATGATCCTCTGATCCCCAATCACTCAGCCTACCTGGGTCTCAGTCTCCTCATTTGTAAAATGAGGGGATTGGGCTAGAAGACCTCTAAGGTCCCTTACAGCACTCAGTCTAGGATTTCCTTTTCTTTAATGACACATTGACTATACTGATAGGATCATGACAATGTCATACATGGAGCATACCTGGATTTCAGGAAGGCATTTGGCATAGTTATTCATGTGATCCTTATATATTCTGAATGGAGAGATGTGGGCAGGGAGTTATATTGGGAACAGGGTAAGATGGAGAAAAAATGGAGACAACATGTACACATTTCATTGAATACAAAATACTTCTTTTGTAAGCACATGTTCATTTTGTTATCAGAGAGATACCAGTCATTGGTGGGCTCAGCACAAGAATGATGGATGAGTTAACACAAATTGAGCCTTGAAGAGACCTGGGGATCCATAGAAGTGGAGATGAAGAAGGAGAGTGTTTTTGAGGAATGTCAATATCTATGCTTCAGTATTAATTTTTTAGATGGCAAAAGTGGTCCCACTTTCCTGGTTCCCTTTGAGAAACTGGAATGTGAGCAGTGTGTTCCTGGGTTGTCATTATTTAAGATGAAGCACAGCCTCAACACACCAGTGGTCCATATACTCTGAATCAACAATTCATCACACACAACAATGTTGAATTGTAACCATAGTTTCTGACTTTGGTTAAATAACTTGTTTTCTGATTTATGGGAAAGATAGAGTGTTAGGCAGCTTTACATTAAATGGTATGCTTCCACTACCATCTTGTGGCCAAAGTATAAAGCACACTGAATTACTCATGTGATATACTTCTCTTCCTGCTGCGTGTGTTGGGGGGTGGGGTGCTCAATGTTTTCTTTATCTCCAGTTATTTTGTGGGCCACCAATGCCATCAGGTGGGATCTACAATAAAGTACCACAGACTTCCTTGGTATAAAAAGCATACTTTTACTCAATGAAACAAACTATGGATTTATTGATAAAATAGGAAATCTGAGATGACTTCCCATTACCTTTTCATTCATCCAATAAGCATTGATTAAGCAGATCTATTGCATGCCAGGCATCCTGAGGATAAAAAGGAAGAAACAAAACAGTCCCTGCTCTCAAAGAGCTTACCTTCTTTTGGGAGGGAACAGTTAAATATAGACTATATACAAAGTAGATGTGAAGTAATTTCAGTGTGGAGGCATTTGTAGATCCAAAGAACAAATGAGGATTCACGACATCTGAATTTGGGCAACTAGGTGGTGCAGTACATTAGAGCACTGGGCTTAGAGTCAGGAAGACTCATCTTCATGAATTCAAAGCTGGCCTCAGACACACTAGCTGTGTGATCCTGGGCAAGTCACTTAACCCAGTTTGCCTCAGTTTCTTCATCTGTAAAGTGAGCTAGAGAAGGAAATGACAAACCACTCCAGTATCTTTGCCAAGAAAACTTCATATGAAGTCACGAAGAGTTGGACATGACTGAAATGACTAAACCACCACAGGCAATTTAATTTAGCCTTGAAGAAAACTAAGGATGTTGAAAGATCGATGTGTAGGGGCAACTAGGGGACCTGAGTTCAAATCCGACCTCAGACACTTGACACTTACTAGCTGTGTGACCTTGGGCAAGTCACTTCACCCTGATTGCCTTACCAAAAAAAAAAAAAGATCGAGGTGAGAAGGAAGTGTTTTCCAGATGTGAGCAGAAACCTGGGCAAAGGCAAAGAGGTAGGAGCTTGGATGCTGAGTTCAGAGATCAGCAAGTAGTCCATTATGGCTGGGTCATAGAGCTTGTGAAGAAGAGTTACTTGTGATAAGCCTGGAAAGGTAGTCTGGACTGAGAAGAGGCTCTGTTTAAGCATGTTGGGGGACAAAAAAAGAAAGGCACAAAGTATGAATAAGATGACTGTCTAGGGCAGATGGGATGATCACTGATAAAGGAGAGGAGGCAGAGCTGTCCAACTTTTCTTTTGCTTCTCTTTTCCTTACCTAGGACAGGG